CTGTTCCTTCTAGTTCTAGTCTTTCCTGTGCTGCTATACTAAAACTCATATTCTGGGTTATCACTATAAAAGCATTTAACATTGTTTAAAACATGCTGCTCTAGAGTCAGGCTAATTGAACAATAAAGCACAGTAATCCCGATGTGTGCATAACGATATAAACTGCAAGGAATTTTCAGTACTCAATTAATTTGGGAACAGGCCTCTCATTTGATGCTGTTTTTCTGTTTTTCTCCTCTTCTGAGAACCTCGGGGGAAGACTTTTGACAGCTGTTATTTGCATAGTTTTCCAAGGAAAGGTCTGTGAAATCATCTTGATGTGTTGACAGCCCTATCCAACTGTTCCCCAGGGCTCTCCTGAGCAATAACTCAGTAAGGTCTTAGAACTCACAGGATCCATCTTATTGCTCATCACAGGAAGTGAGCCGCCAAACTTAACCAAAATATCAACAAAATACCCGGTAGGCAGATGAGATTGAAGTAAACCTGCTATAACTATTATTTCACATGATTAGTGCTCTGGTGTTCACATTTCAGCTTGCTTGGAAATTTGATTTCCTCTTGCCAGTGTGAATATTAATGCTATAATAATTTCCAGTCAAATATCTGTATCAAGTATCTGTATTTATTTTCTGTTACTAAAAAGGAATCTGCTTTATTTTATTCCTTTCAGTAAAAACACATGCTGCTGAACCCTCAGTGAATCTTTTCAGCGTGTAAGGAGGGTTACACACACACACAGAGAGAGCTGCATGGAATAATAATCATGGACTTTTGACTGTTGTCACTGGCTCATACGGTTTCACACTTATAAACACGTCCCTGGGAGTTGTTAAAAGAGTAGAGTGCACTTCTTCACATCTCCATCTAGAACTAAAGATTTAAATTGGACTCTTGATGATGTTATGTTAACAAAATATCAAATCCAAAGGAGCTATTCATCACACGCCACTGTAGCTGTATGTCTATGCTCTGATAAAGCATGTGGACCATGTAGTATGTGGATTCTACCTTCAATGGACTTGACTAACATCGAACATATTTTGCCCTGACAGACAAGTGATTCAAGTCACACAGACAGATGCATGGTCGTGTTTTTCATAGCGTAGTAACTTATGTCAAAACAAAGATTCATCTCATGTAGAAAGAGAGCGACAGAGAGTCACCAAAAACAGTGTTATACTACATAGTATACAAGTCAGCAGAGGACAAGCTAAAACCTGTAAGAACATATAAAAATGAAATGAAACAAGTTCCCCACAGAAGCTCTTTTAAAGCCACTACAAGGCTGAACTCCTCTGTTCTGTCCACTGTCTTGTAAACATTGTGGCGAGCTCCCACCAGTTCTTGCAAGACCTCCACTGGGTCTTCAGAGGCTGTGATTTTTCTTCTTTTGTCAAGTCCAGATTGCCAGCTAAGACGCTCTTGGTAAACACTTCCTCAAATTCAGAACCCACCTACTACCTCAAGAGACAACATGTGCAGAAATAACCCAACAGGTGCAAACACAAAACAGGGGACTTCCTCTTTATGAAAATGACATAGTGGTTACATTTGCACCTCTACTGGCTTTGTGCCTGTACGAAAATAGAAGCCCTAGTTTATTCAGTCTGGATACGCTAATCTCTCTGTCTGCCATCTTCACAGGTGTACTGTCTGATATTTGGATTTTTTGTCCTCAGTGTATCTAGCAGATCAAACTGGCTCACTATATTTTTAACGATAAGTCTAAAGAGACTCTTAGTTTGTCCTGTCCAAAGTAAAGTCCTTTATACAGTTTCCTTCCACTGCAATACTGTCACTATGGTTGCACTGACCTCTCTTCTTTAAAACATAAACACTGAGGAAAGAGAGGACACTGTCCTCTGCCCACTGTCTCTGCTTACCAGAACCACCCACTGCTACACTACCTTAATGTCAGATTAAATAACACAGCCTAACTTTGATGGAAAGAGAGCAGGACTCGTATCAATAATCTAAGAAGAAGAAGGATGAGTGATGAGTTAAGATAGGATTGAATATACCATGAATGACGTCACTGTTTTACTGTTTTGGACTCAGAATCGTGTTGTGAAATTTATGATGGTATCCTGTGGTGATTCTGGTGTATGTAATGAAAACATACCTATGAATATTATATACATTTCTACCAGTAGTTCCCCTAAATCTTACATACTGGTCCTTTAAAAATGCAATCATTTGAACGCAACAGAGATCTTCGCCATTTAAGTTGATACGGCAAAGTTGCTAGCATTTAACAGTTATTTCTTTAAACATCTAGCAGACAATGAGCAGCATTGTCATTAATTTGGAGTCGTGTTTGTATCGACCTGGTGAATATAAGTCTAATATTCACTCTCTTTTAGCTCGTTTTTTTCTCCTGAGGGAAATGCCTGTCTCTTTAGCTGCTAAATGCTCCATAATGTTAACCAGCCATTTGCTAACTGTTTCTTTCTGCTGTTTGGTCGTGGGTAGGTAGTGTAAAGTTTTTTTTCCTTAGCTTCTTCGCTGAAACAGCTGGAAAAACAGCTTGCCTGTTTCGGTCAAAAACTGTGCTATGAGAGCAGTGAGAGTGAATCAAAAGAGTAAAGTTGTGGGCCAGACAGCAAAACAATAAGGTAAAACTATCTATAAAGCTCTGTAAACTGTGAGGAAATGCAGATTCAGGTCATAATTATATGTAGTTTGAACACTACCCGACCCCTTTCACATTGCCACACTATTTGATACCTTGTCATGAAAAAAATATCAGTTATAGCTGCTTTTACATTGTTTTATCAGTAAGGCTGTTGAATTGTTTTGGTATATTTGTAATTGTGTCTAAGCTGGAATGTGGCCACAATATCGAAGATAACATTTGCATATCAGTATATGTTGAATCTTTTTTTCCTTTTGTGTAATTCTTAATTTACCCTATATTAGTGCTGGAAAAACTATTAAGTATTCATTATATAGGAGCTTTGAGGTGCCATAAATGCAATCACAGCAGCTACCAAATCAGCGCTTTTTAACTCTGTTTCCATGTTTTCAATTAAGCCTGAAATGAAAGAACTCTGCAGTGTGGGGCCAGGTTTATAGATGGAGCAATTATCCCAAACATGGACAAAATCAGTCAAAATAAGTTTCAGTCCAATAATTGTGTTTGAAGAAGCTTGTTCTTATAAATTAAATATTTGTTATATTTCCACACCTGGAGTGTGTGTGCATGTTTGTCCTATCAGTATCCCCCTGCTGGGAACTACTAATAGCTTTACAAACCTTCTCAATCCTTGAGGAGATGAGAGTAATTTCTTTGGTTTAGAGAGACGATAAAATGCTTTTACTCCTAAGCCTTAAAGTAGGACTGAATATATGTATCCATCACAGGCTGAACTGTGGGTCAATTAGGACTGATTTGCCTCTGATAAATACAGGCCAAGCTTCTGGTGCACTTAAACTGTAACCATGACAAAGAACATACAGTAATGTACCCCCTCTAAAGGCCCCAGTGTGTACCTCATTATCCCCACTGCTGTGGGAGAACTACAACCAACTTCTTTCTGATTTATCATTTCTGCAAATACAGCTCTTAAACGTTTTTAACTCCCACCATTAATGTTTAAACACTGTTCTTAAACTCTGTATAGTATGACTAAAATGATTAAACAGAAGAACAATTACAGTAAGTAATGAATTGACATTTTAAACCGTGGATGCCTTCTTGAAAGAGGTTTTTTTTTAATACTAACCGTATTTGTTTTGTTCAGAAAAGCAGAGCAGCGCATGATCTGATCCGACTGTTAAAGGACCAGTTTGTAGGATTTAGTGGCATCTGTGCCCTTACCTCACCCTGCTGTTGCAGCGTGTAGGAGAAACTACAATGGCCGCGAAAAACGTGAAACACTCACACTAGAGCCAGTGTTTGGATTGTCCGTTCTGGGATACCGTAGAAACATGGCGGACTCTGAGAAGAGCACCTGCTCTGTCTGTAGATAAAAAATGCTCATTCTAAGGTAACAGGAAACACCAATAAAAAACAACCTATGAAATATTATATTCCTTTCTGACAATGATCCTCCTAATGTCTACACACTGGAGCTTTACATTTGGAAACAGAGCTAAGCCGCAACAGTCAGCAGTTCCCTTGCTGCCTTGGGTAACAAGATTTGGACCACTATCGAGCATTCATGCAGTCTGTTTTCTCCTACTGGTCAACAACTGAGGACACCATGCTTCAGAGCATGAACTCAGCAAACAGAGCCACTAACCACCTTATTCATACATGACACACACATATAACAAGTAGCCAGCCTAACAGTAATCAAGAAATTATGGCTTAAAGCTTATGATATGACTGATATGCATTCTGGGACAATAAAGGCCTGATGAATGGAGAGGCAGTTTGTGACTGGAAGGTTACCAGTCCTGTGCTGCCAGCATAACACTTGGCATAGGAAGTGAAAGAGCAGTATGTATATATATTGTATAAGGACCTGAAAACAAGAATTGGTGTGTTTTTGTTACTTTAGAATTAGCCATTTTTATCACCTTCCATAGAGGCCAACGTGTTGAACTGCCATGTTTTCACAGTAGCTAAGAACAGACAAAGCAAACACTGGCACTAGATGGGACTGCTTGTGTCTTCATAGTTTCTCCCTCACACTTGGAGAGGGAGGGTAAAGTGAGTGAGTTCACTGTTGGAGAGACGAGGCTGGTGTCTGTGTACACGTCTTTCCATTTCTGACACAAACAACACAAACCCAAGAAGCAAATTCGCTCTTGCCCAATAATACAGAAAAAAATATCGTCAAAACACCCGTGGGACTCAGATTCACTTTCACACCATCACTAACAGATACCCAGCATGCAACAAGAGAGATAGAGAGAGAGCAGAGGGAGGAAGCTCTCTGTCTGCAGGTTTAAAAGTATGCTGCACAGGTTTGGCTTGTAGTGTCCCTCTTGATGTTGGTTGATGTATAAACAGTGTGCTCTCTGTGTATGTTTTTCAGGTGGCTGTGACAGGGGCACCCCCGGGGCAGGACCCATGAGGAGTCAAAGAAGATGCTCACAGCCTGGGCGCTTCTGCTCTTCTTAGCCATGTGGGTGAGAAGCACCTCTGGTGGCCCGCTCTCCTTCAGAATAGGTAAATTGTACAAAAAAAACACAATCACATTGTAAGTGGGAAAAACTGCTGCTCACAGCCATAACCCTAACCCACCCTGGAAGCCTTTTAGGAGACTTGGTTCAGAGACATCACAACTTGCTCTTGCACAATATTCATATACTATATGCATAAAAGGATTTTATTTTTCATATTAATTGAAACATACATGAATGAATGAATTTCACTTTTTAATTATCAGCCTTGACCTTAAATCAAATTGCTGTAGGCTCAAATATTGGCTCAAATTGATGGTACAGTCTAACTTCACAGTCTCTAATGGGAAATTAGCTGAAGAAATTCAATCAAAAGCTTAAAAAAAACATGTTTCCCCACTGACACGTGGCTTTAAAAAAATTAAAAATGAATGGACATGTCACTGACAAATTAGCATTGCAGCATATATTGCGATTGTGAATGGAGCATGTCCCCTGGACCAATTTTACATACAGTATCATTAGTGTAATTTCTGATTAAATCAGTGGTATTGTTACAACACCGGTTTGATCAGTTTAAGACAATAGCACAATGTCCAGCAGACGACTACTGTGATATTCTGCTTCTGGAAATAGTGGCAGATCGGTGGACCAAGGTTTCCATCTGGCACCAGGGCATGGTTCAAAAGTCTCATAACCAGCCCGAGTCGGTTGGTAACCAATGGGAGTTGTGCTTTCTTGTTATTATTCTCCTACAGTCAGCAGGTCTCTGACACCCTGTCACTAGCTCCCAGTCTAGCAAAGGTTTGACTGACTGTCTCTTTATTTATGTATAGACCCCTTGTCTTAGGTGGGAAACTGTGTGCGTGTGCGTGCATGGGTGTGTGTACTGTATATAGAAACAGATGGTAAGTGGAGGTACAGATAGATATTGAGAATGAGATCGATTCTACAGCTCACATACTGTGCTCGCATCGTGGTCTCTCAGTGGCTGCCTTTAAATTTATAGCATGGTTGTCAACTTTCAGGAACAGCTGAGAGTGAGATTTGTTGTCAGGGGAGAAGGGTGGCAGTTAATAACCCAAAATCAGTATACAAATCCCCTTGTGGTTATTGTGACGGTATTAAAACATTGAATAAACCCAAACGGTGCATTACGACGAATGGTGAACGTTTCTCGGGAGCAGAAGAGTAGTTTTAGAAAAATGAAGGACCAAACTATTGAAAACAAATTGTCTTTTAAAAACTAGCCTCTCTGATGTCATGGATTCACTTTAATACTACTATGCATTTTTTCTTTAGAAATTCGTTTCAGTAATGAAGAAAACATTGTTTAGTTTAACTCCCAGTCTTGTTGGAATGTTAAAGCAGGCTCTTTCTTTCCCTCCCTTTTTGCTCTGCCTGTAGTGTGAGAGAAATAAGTATTTTTATCCTTCCCGTATTTTGAACTTTGACAAAATGGAGTCAATTCAACTGTCATCTTTGAATAGTATCAACTTTTTTTTTTTTGAGCGAGACATTTTTTGTATCAGTTAGTAGTTTCTCTTGTCTGCTCCCTCTCTCACAGTTCTGCCACAGCTCAGCTAAGGTTTGCAGAATTCTTTTGGTGGTTTGGCATACGATGCCCCAAACAAACAATACAACTTCAAAGTTTACTGTACCAACAAGACCAAGAACAAATCATTCCTTGTTTGTGAATACTGTTGGATAAATGACTAGCAGCCCCATGTCTCTGCCTTCTCTACATTAACATCCACCCTCCACCTTATTGTACAAAAGCACCTCTACAGCGATGCTGGTTTATGTTTATCTCAGTCATGTTGCTTCGTTGATGAATAATTAGTCAGTTGGCCTGTTTTTCCCTTTCTTCGAATGTCATGTGTGCACAGCACTAGTGTCTTTGCCAGTGTGCTGTCAGTATATGTTTGTGTGTGCGTGTGTGAATTAATGCACAAGGCAGCACAAGGCATAGATATGCACACACACAGCCACACACACATTTCAAAGCACACTAAGGCACGCAAACAAACACAAACCCCCAAACACCACCACAAACTCCCTGCCATTTGCGCTCCAGGAGATGGTATTTAACATGGCTTTCCCTCGAGTCCTGCCTGGCTGGCATAATGTCACTGTCTGGCCTTCTCTGAATGTATCAGGGCCAAAAACAACCTCCCGCCCCTGCCACATTCCCCACCAGGACCATCCAGCAGCCAGCAGCAAGCTCAGTGTAGGTGAACTGAGGAACTTATCTTTGTCTCTGCTGTGTAGTTGGTGAATGCAAAGATAAAATGGACTTTCGTTTGCAAATTAGTTGGCATGTATGGTAGATCTACATAACCTCTGATAGACCTTCTGATTGGGAAGATATATACAAATAAAATGTGATTGTTATGGCATTTTTACTGCTGTGTTGCAGGAGTGGGACAATGTAGAACTTACAGTGTTGTTGGAAGTGGTTGTAGAGTAATAAAAGATTAATTATAGCAATGTTGACCCGAGAAAGTATAAATAATTTAATTTGAGTCAGTATTTCTTCTAAATAGAAACACCACTGAGCTGAAGCAAGAAGAATAGCAACATTTTAATAGACAGTTTATTTAATAAAATTAATGCATGAAATATTATCATGTTAGAGCATTCTGTTCAAGGAGATCTCTCAATAATTCTAAGACTATGTAAATAAAATAAAACGAGAGATATTGCATAATATTACATGAAAAATCCCTGGTCACTACCATACAGGGTTGCTTGTTTTTGTGGATGGTGTTCCCCCATTAGTTGCATGACAGAGCGTCTGCCATTTAATTTCATCCACCCAATAAACCGCTATGCTAATAGACACATAATCACTATTAGCTGGTGTCTGTTTTTGTTAATACAGTGAGTGAAAATCTAGTAAAATAGTCAGGAGAGCCACATGATCCTTCATTAGGGCTACATTCATCAACACTGCCAACTTACACTGCAGAGCCCTTACTCTCCGCTCTATAAATCAGAATCAGAATCAGAATCAGAAATACTTTAATAATCCCCGTGGGGAAATTACTTGAAAGGTGGGTACAAGAAACAGGAAAAACAAGAACAGGAAAAACAAGAGGAGAAACAACCTCATGCACACACACCCAACACCACACACACACACACACTCTGGCCAGTTCAATATCATAATATAAAAGTCATTTATCTGCTGTTCGTTAGGTAAGAGGTGGCTGTACGGATTAATTAAGATAGGTTTAGCTGTTGAGTTTACAAAAGTTTATTCTGACAGCTGTCTGCTCAGCACCTCGCCAAATCCAGAAGTCATCTGTTACTCATAAATCAAAAGCAATTGAAGGTTTCATAGGAGATGGATTGTTTTCCATCATATAACCCTATAGGAATTAGCTCAACAGGAAATGCAGTAGCTGAGCAAAATGGTGTAGAGTGATCAGGTTTTAAAAATGTTTTTAATTGATTAAGAGATTCCAAATAAGTGATTCTCAGTACATTGTGTTAATCAGTGTTGCTTTTGACAGACACTTAGTAGACGTGTCTACTGTTTATTCAAAAAATCCAGACAGGCACTCACGTTCAGGTTCTCTTATCTCTCTGAAGCCCACAGAATGTTTCCTAGCATTGGGTTTCACCACAGGGAAGGCCTCCCCACTATGATACCAACACTAAATTTAGCTGTTGGCACCCACTGTGTGTCGACTCACTCAAGTGCTGTGAAATTCCCTCAGCAGATATCCTTTACTCACCTCAAATTTGCTGTCTGTGTGCAAGAGAAAGGGCTTTGGATTTAATTTTTAGAGCATGTGTAGTCCCTGTTTAACCAGAGTGAAAGGATTAATATTTATTGTTATGGAAAAATGTGTTGTAAGCTACACACAGTGTCTCCAGCACCAGCATTTTCTATTGTTCATAATGGATTTGGAGAGCTGAAATCTTCCATGGTCTTGTTTTGTATTGCATTACAATGTCGTTTCACAAAGAAATCGAATGTACTTCCAATGTTTCTCACGTTGTTTCACAGCAACATTTGGAGAAACTATTTGAATAATATGAAGGATTTCATATGAGCTTTTATAGTGACAGTATGCTCAAAAGCTCTACTCCAGGGCATAGGAGGGTCTGACGCATGAACATTAAAGATAGACGTTCCTCAATCTTTAAAAGCGTGTAAACTTAATTGTATATTGATCAATTAGTGTTGATTTTAACTGTATTAATAAATCTATCAATATGAAGTTTGTTTCATTGATTGAATCTAGTTTCAAGCTATGAATACTTTGTTAATATATAGCTGTTTACTTGGAATGAGTTCGGCAAAGGGCAGCAGGGGACAGTATTGAAAAAACTGATATTTTACTGTCATTGACATTTCATGAATAATCGCTTTTCTTATTATTATGTCCTCAGGGAGAACTCGAGAGCCAGGCTGTCTATGATTGTTGGTTTTATTTGCCCATTTATTTATAATTTTTTAGCCTCTCACTCTGGTCAGGGTCACAGTGGCAGGATGGGCAGAGGAACCCATGCATAATAATAATCCACAGCAACTTCCACCAGCTCTCTCTCTGATCCTTAAGTGCTCACAGGCCAGCTGGGAGATGTAATCCCTGCAGCATGTCCTGCGTCTGCCCCATAGTCTCCTCCCAGTTGTACACCTCCAGAGGGAGAGGCCCAGGGGCATCCTTAACAGGCACCTAAAAGTCATCAGCATGCTCCTGCCAATGTCAAGAAGCAATATTTTCACACTCCACCATTTAGGGTGAATATATGTTATATTATTTGGGCCATGATCTCTTTCTTGCAATCAGTGCAAACTTGTGACCATAGAAACAGTAGATCCTGCTTTACAACAGATGGTCCCATCTCTCACATCTCACTCCATCAACTTTAAGCACACTTCAGTAAAAAACAACACAGTTTCTTGGTTTAATGTTTAGGTTGTTAAATCTCCTCGGACACAATGATACAATAATGTTACCTTTACTGCTATATGCCATTGTTAAACCATGGCTATAGTAACCTGAAACATATACTTTTGTCTATGCTTTA